AGACAAGAAAAGGCTTTTACAGTGGAGGGGAAGTGGGAGAAAGTGAGAAGGGAATGAGTCAATCTTATTCTCATTGGATTTGGCTTAAGGAGGGAATAACATACACACTGAATTGGGTATGGAAATCTATTTTACCCTACAGGAAAACAGGGAGGAAGGAGATAAGAGAGTGGGGAGATGATAGAGGGGAGGACAGATTGGGAGAGGGAGTGATCAGAAGCAAACACTTCTGAGGAGAGACAAGGTCAAAAGAGAAAATAGAATAAACGGGTGGCGGGATAGGATGAAGGAAAATATAGTTAGTTTTCCACAACATGACTACTGTGGAAGTGTTTTGCATGACTGCACATATATAACCTGTATCAAGTTGCTTGCCTTCTCAATGAGAGTGGGTTGGGAGGGAGGAAGGGAAAAAATTTGGAACCCAAAGTTTTAAAAACAAATGTTGAAAATTGTTTTCACATGCAACTGGGAAATAAGATATACAGGCAATGGGGTATAGAAATCTATCCTGCCCTACAGGAAAATAGAAGGAGAAGGGGATGAGAGAAGAGCGGGAGATAGAAGGGAGGGCAGATTAGGGGAAAGTGTCTTCAGGATACACACCTTCTTGGGGTGGGGGGAGGGACTAGATGAGGAGAAAATTTGGAACTCAAAATCTTGTGGAAGTGAATGTTGAAAACTAAAAATAAATTAAGAAAAAAAAAGTGAGCCAAGGAATGGCTCTTTTAATAAAAAAAAAAAAAATCAAACTGGATGGGGAAGACCCTTAGGATTTTTGGCCAAAAGAGAAACAATTACTATTTACTTTCACTCTGAGGCATCAGGCCCTAAAAAATAACCCTTAAGTGGTGTTTGGGCAGAGAACTATTGTTGTCCAGTCAATGAGAGCCAGAGTGAATTGGGTTTAAGGCATGGTCTTTAAGAAAGAAATGTAGCCAGTAATCCCAAGATATCAAGGTAGATTTCAGCCATCAAAATTTACCTTCCTTTGGGCAGAGCACCCTCAGGTAAGGGCATGATACCCCATGAGGAGAGGAGTATGTTGCCCGACTAGAACTGGCCAGTTGGGTCACCAGTGGGGTAGCTCTGACTACTCACAGGTTGTGGTTTGTCCTTTGTAATCAAAGAGAGCTGTGACATAAGGAAGATGATGCCATGACTTGCAAATGAATTGGATTTAAGTGAAGAAGGGCTGTGCAAAGTCACTAGCCTTACTTTCTCCTCCAGAGTCATCTGGGTCCAATGGCAAGATATATATAAATCAGGACGACTGGAGATGGCTCAGCCTTGGGGGAGTTACAAAGATGGTAAATAGAGCAGTCGGGGCCACTGTAGGCAGGACAAAAAATGATTGAGGTAAAAATGGGAATGGGTGATCCCAGGAAATAGAGTATGAAACACATCTTACTTGAGGAACCGTTGGGTCCTTTACCCTTCTGGCTGTCCTCAGCTTATCAGAAGCTTTCCTAAAATGTGGTACCCAGAAATGAACACAATACTCCATATGTGGTCTGACCAGTAAGACTATCACATTTCTTAGTCCTGGACATTATGACTCTTAATACAGTCTAAGATCATGTAGCTTTTTTTGGTTGCCATAAGGTGCCCTTGACTCATTGAGCCTATTGTCCACTAAAACCCCTGGGTCGTTTTCAGATGAAATGTCCTTTAGCGATGCCTTCCTTATATTTATGAAGTTGCCTTTTTTGTAAGGCTTTACATTTTGTTGTTGCTATTCATTCATTTTTCCATCATATCTGACTCTTCATGATCCCATTTGGACTTTTCTTGGCAAAAATACTGGAGCCATTTCCTTCTCCAGCTCATTTTACAGATGAGGAAACTGAGACAAATGTGGTTAACGGACCTGCTCAGGGTCACACAGCTAGTAAGTGGCTGAGGCCAGATTGGAAATCAGGAAGATGAGTCTTTCTGACTCCAGACCCAGCACTCTATCCACTGCACCACTTCACTGTCCTTTAAGCTTTACATTTAGCACCATTAAATTCATCTAATTAGATGAGCTGCATGTTCTGGCTCAGTGGTATCAGAGTCAAAAAGAAACTGTACATAAGGATCTCTGAGACCATATGTTGATTTGAAAAAACCATTTATGAAAGTGATCTATGTTCTGTTGTATTTATTTTGTTAAATATTTCCCAATTACATTTTAATCTGGTTGAGACTGTGCTTCGGCGCACAGGGTCATGTGTTTGACACTCCTGTTCTAGCTTGTCCCAGTCTTTTTGTATCCAGGTTCTGCTATCAAGTGTGTGAACTCTCCATCCTAATTTTGTGTCATCTGCAGATTTGTTAAGTATGCCATCAGGGCATTAAATCCATATAATTATTAAGGATGGGTGGAAGTATGATAGAGACCCCTGGTAAAACACAGGACCAAGCAACAGTCCCAAGAACAAACTACAGAAAATCTTCTTTGAAATTAACATCGCTTATTAATGATTTACTCTTTGGGTTCAGGAATTTAACCATTCTAAATTCTCCTAATTATATTGTTGTGTAACTTAACATCTCCCCTCCCCCCCAGCCCACTTAATAGTACATTCACTTTTATAAGATTTTGAGTTCCAAATTTTTCTCTCTCCTCCCTCCTTCTATCTGCTCTCCCCTCCCCAAGACAGTAAACAGTCTGATATAGGTTATACATGTACAATCATGTTAAACATATTTCCATATTAGTCATGTTGTGAAAGAAGAATCAGAACAAAAGAGAAAAACCATGAGAAAAAAAAAACAAAACAAAAAATAGTGAAAATAGTAGGCTTCGATCTGCATTCAGACTGCATAGTTCTTTCTTTGGGTGTGGATAGCATTTTCCATCATAAGTCTTTTGGAATTGTCTCAGATCATTGTATTGCTGAGAAAAGCTATGTCTATCATAGTTGGTCATCACACAATGTTGCTGTTACTGTATACAGTGTTCTCCTGGTTCTGCTCACTTCACTCAATATCTGTTCCTCAGTGACATCATGTCCACATTTTTCTAAAATCTTCCCGCTCTTCATTTCTCATAGAACAGTAGTATTCCATTACATTCATATACTACAACTTGTTTAGCCATTCTTCAACTGATGGGCATCCTCTCAATTTCCAATTCTTTGCCACCACAAGAAGAGCTGCTATAAATATTTTTGTCCATGTGGGTCCTTTCCCCTTTTTTATGATCTCTTAACATCTATCATTTTCATAAGAATCCAATGAAAATATTTTAAAATTTTTAATTTAAGATCCAAGTAATCTATATAGTATTCCCCTAATTCTTCAGTTGAGTGTCAAAAAAAAAAAGATTAGACCAGCGTGACCTGTTCTTAATGAAGTCATGCTGATTCTTTATGGTTACCTCTTCCTTTTCCTGATGTTTACTAAGCATCCTTTTAATTTAACAACCCTAGAAATATTTATCAAGCACCTAGGAGAGGCAGCATTGAGTAGTGGAGAATGTATTAGATGTGGAGTCGGGAAAACTTGGGTTCAAATCCCACCTTAAAATGACTAGCTTTACTAAAATTTATGTAAAATTTCTCTTTAGGCCTCAGTTTCCTCATTTGTAAATTGAAGGCATTGGACTCATGAACTCTAAGGTTCCCTCTAGCTCTAGATGTAAGGTCTTATGTTTGAGGCACATAAATTCTAGAACTTTGCCCCTAATGGAAATCAAACTCAGTGACATCATTTACAGACTGTTCCTTTCCTTTCTTTTCTTTTCTTTTTTTTTTTTTTTGGATATCATGATAATATTTACCCGTCCTTAATCCTGTGGTACCTCTTGTTCTTCAAAATGTTTAAAAATTTTTTCAGCAAATGAGGATGAAGTTCTTCTGTTTCTGTTTACTTTTACTCTTCAAGTATGGCTAATCCTCTAATGAGGGGCAGCTACGTGGTATAGCAGATAGGGTGCCAGACCTGGAGTCAGGAAGACTCATCTTCCTGAGTTCCAATGTGGCCTCAGACACTTACTAGCTGTGTGACATTAGACAAGTCCCTTAACCCTGTTAGCCTTAGTTTCCTCCTCTGGAAAATGAGCTGAAGGAAATGGCAAACCACTTCAGTATCTCTGCCAAGAAAATCCCAAAATAGGGTCACGAAGAGTCAGATACGACTGAAAACGATTGTACAACAACAGCAAAACCTCTAATGAGTTTCCTACTTTATCTTAGGTATCAGTAATATCCTATTTGCCATTTTTTTTCTCTCCTTTGCAGCCCAAAGATCATTCTCCTTGGCAGAGAAAACAGAGACATTATAAGAGTTGAGAAGCTTCACTAATTTTTCAACTTGTGATTGTAGATGGTGCTTTTGAAACATTATTAATTTGTTACCTTGAAGGTTTGATCATTCATAAATTTCGAGTTGCCCAGCAAAAGCAGCTCATGCTGTTTGGATATGATATAGTCTTTAGACCTTACAAGAACAGCTAAGAGTAGTTTTCATCTTAAGCATTATAGAACCTTTGAGATTCATGGATAGAATTGGTATTTTAGCACTTTGCTGTGGGGGACAGTAGATGATGTCAGATTAAATTTAAATTGATCTCTTGGTGTTTATCTCTGGTCCATGTGCAATTACTTCAGCACCGGAGAACCTTTCACAGGCATCCTGTCAATACAGCTCCCTGACGGTCATTTGTATTTGTAAACTGTGCATTTGGCACCTGCTGTTCTCTGTTGCTCTATGGCTAGTGGGGAGTCAGAATGGGTATACAATGAAGTTATTGGTCAGTACAACTCAGTGGGAGTTATTGAAGGAAAGAAACAACACTTGCATGCCCTCAGGAGAGGATAAGAGAGAAAAAGAAAGTGGTAACATTAATGCATACCTTATTTTCTTTAGCTACCAGAAAATAATTAATGACAGGAGCAGCCAACCAGTTGTATCCATAGCATTAAATTGTTTGTAGCAATCCCTCGTTGTTGTTTTTACTCTAAAAATACATTTTAATAATCTAACCTGAATTTATTTGGCTTCTTTGATTTTAGGATTCCAAACAAGCTTAAGCAGTTTGTATTAGACTTGCATTCAGGAAAACTGCACAGAGAGTTTCATCACGGCCCCGATCCCACTGATGGCGCCCCTGGACAGGTAGGAGTTCACTTGGTCTTTCAATAGCATACTTTGCTCCCAGGAGTGGAAAGCGGAGCTCTTTTCCTCTTGCATTGAGTTAATAAGTTTCTGTTGTAGAAAGAAATGCTGTCAAGCAATCTTGAAGCAATGGCCAAAATTGAAATAAGCAACAACAAAAGACCATTTATGTTGAGAACAAAGTATTAAATAGTATCTGACTAGAATGGTATAAGGTGGCAGGATTTAGAACAGAAAGATTGGTGAGTTTAGTAGTGGATTCTATTGTTTAATTACCACCTGTGGCTAACAGATTGATCACAGTATATAGAGAATAATGATTTAATTTTGAATTTTTCTGATCTCATCAGTATAATATTGCTTAGAGTTTATGATGAGTATATTTTTATGTAGTTTTCATTTTGGGGGGGATATATATTATTACCTTTCTGAATACTCAGGAGGTAATAAGTAACCTGTAGAAGTTGTTTCATTTTGCTTGTTTTTGTTTTTGAAACTGATCCTCCCTATTTCACCCAGGCCAGGACTGCAGTGGCCCCACAGGCCTGATCCCAATACTAAACTGCACAGAAGCTTTAAACCTGTTCTTTTTTTTCTGACTTGAGCTGGTTGGCCCCCTTCCTTAGGCAGCCTTGGTAGCTCTCCACTTCCTGAGGCTCACCATATTTGTACCAGACATAATGTGGACACGCAAACAGCTTTAGTCCTGCTGCAGCTCAGATCTACCAAATTCAAGTAATCCACCAACCTCAGTCTCCTCCTGTAGCAGTGATTACAGGTGTGCACCACCATGCTTATCCCATTAGATTTTTTATTTAAAAGTTTTTAGCTTCTTTATGTTCTCGAAATAAGTATTTTTGTAATTCACATAATTTCTATTCACTTTTTTCCTACCTTAACATCCCTTCATTCTGCACAGCTGTGGCGTAAGTCACTTTTTCTTCTAGGATATCCTAATTTTTGCCTCCCTTGCCCCTTAAAAAAAAAACAAAAAAAACAAAAAAAACCCCAAACCCATGTTTCTTTTCATTTAACTTCTTTATTTAGTGGTTAAATTCTTTTCAGTGACAGGAGCCCCCGTTAGAGTACTTTAGAGTTCCTTTTTTCATTGAAAATTTGAATTCAGGAATTTTTTTAATAATTTGAAAACTATAGAAGCTGATAACCTCATCCTGCTGAGCTTTGAAGAAGCACTCCAAGGTTTTTTTCCCTAAATGTAAAGTATGGTTAGTGTTTTCCAAGGCTTGGTCAAAATGATGTGCATCATAACATACCAGTTAATATTGTCACTTGAGCTTGGTGAAGCTAAACATCTATTTAATGAGATGGGGAAATTGGAAATTGAGCATGACAAGAAAAAAAATCAGAGGGATGGACACAATGTCATGTATATGGCATAATTTTATTGGTTTAGAATGCCTTTGCTTCTTCTTGATGGTTCAAAAGACAGGGTCTTTTTCTTTTCTACTGGTGTACATTGTAGAATATTATTAAGGTAAATTTTAAGTATTAACATGTTAGCTTTTCTCTTTATCTCACTAAGTTTTAGGCTATTGTACCATTTAAGTAGCTTCTGCAGAAAGGCTACTATATAAATAGGAAATTTTGTTAAGTGGGGTCAGAACTATATGGCTTCTACAGAGTACATTAAGAAAAGGCCTAGGTTGTCTAGCTATTAGGGCATTCTCTCCACCCAACAGAAATGTGTCTTGTCACCTAACATGTCACCAAGAAAAACTGGGGTCATTTCTGAAGTAATTGAGACTGGGAGAGGCTGTAATTTTTTTCAAAAGCACTTAAAATAAGGAAAGCAGCATCCAAGTCCTCTCCTTTGGAAAATGAAATCAATGGCTGTCCCCTCAAATAAAGTGACTATCTTTAGTCAATAAACCATCAAGTATTTATTGAACTTCAACTCTATCTTAACTCTGTGCTCAAGTTACAATATAACCTCAAAGTTGAAATATATTATATTTTTATCTTTTACAGCACATTCAAGATGTAGCAAGCAGTCCACCAGAGAGTTCCTTTCAGAAACTAGCACCCAGCGAATATAGGTATACCTTATTGAGGGATCGAGATGAGCTTTAAAAACTTGAACAAAAAATTGCAAGCCTTTCAAACAACAGCATCAACTTATGTGGTGGAAATAGTAAACCTATATTTTCATAATTCTATGTGTATTTTTATTTTGAATAAACTAAAAGAAAGGTTTGGGTTTTTAATTCCCCTGACTCAAATTATATGGTTTGGTGGGTCATCCAATATACTTCTTTTTTAAAGTCCTATTAATATTTAATAAGAAAAATGCATCAGAGGCCCATCTTCACTTTGGATCTAACTAACCCTGACCTCCAAAACATTCATAAATCTAATGGAAGGTAATATTGCCAGAGACAATATGTTTTTAACTTGCACTGCTCCATTAAATAAGAATTGGGATGTTTTCTGTGTAATCTGGTAGTATGTACACTCTTTTCCCCCTTCCTTCCCATAGGAACAGTTCTCTTGGTACTTTTCATTGTCACATTTCTCACAGCAAAGAGGGTATATATTCTGGATACTTGGGAGGGGAATAAATTAAAGTTTTACAGAACTTTGTGTTGTGTTACTGATTCGTGGGATGCTGCTTGTGAAAATTTGATTATAGTCTTTTGGGATCTTTGACATGTAACCTAAACCTATTACTGAAGAAGCCAGAAAGCCCCGAGTCAGAAATTTGGCCTGACATTGTCTGAGCTTAAAAAGAGAAAGAAAAGGGAAAAAATGCTGTTAAGCTTATAAATGTTTACATAATAATGGCTGTGAGAGGTATTTCAAACTATTAAGAGTGATTTATTCATAAATTTGGAAAAAAAATTCTAATTCAAATGAATACCAGTGTTTCTAATGGGGAATACAACAAATAAAATCTCTTCAGTTCCTTGTGTACATTTAGAGTAGATCTTCCCTTTAGCAAATTTTGATTTGTATGACTATCTAAGGTAGTACTAACCCAAAACCTCAGATTATGATCTAAGTTCATCTTACAAAGTGTTCCTCCACCCAACCCCAAGTACCCACTACCTTTTCTGGGTCTCCCACTGACCTGAGTGGGTTACTGAGATGGCTGCTACTCAGCATTCTGTCCACTGGATTCTTGATGCAGGATGTAGAGGAAAGCAGCGCAAGAAAGAGACCAAAGCCAACAGAGTGGTGCTTTGCTGGCTTGGGCTGGCACTGTATGCATCAGGAGTCTTTTTATACTTTTTATACTAATACATATAAGTCAACCCCAGTTTAGGGGGAAGGATGTTTTTGGGTTTTTGTTTTGTTTTGTTTTTTAATTTAAAAGGCTGATTTATGTGCCATTATATAGAGTATGTAATGATACCTGTAACACCTACCAGTTCTTTCAAAATAAAAAAAAAATCTTCATATTTCTGCTGGATATTTAATTATTTTGTTCTTTCAAAAAAGAACCAGCTTAGTCAATTCTGGATATATTCTAGATAGATAGCAATCTTTTACCCAATGAAGGAATATTTAAATATCTTTAGTGGGAGCAGTCAGTCTCTATTTGAACACTTACAGTGATAGGAAGATTACATCCCTACACAACAGTCCATTCTGTTTTTGCATGGTTCAGTTATGAAGTCTTTTCTTAACCCTCATATAACTTCCACATATTGATTCTAGTCTTGTCCTCTGGAGCCTTTTCACAGATAATAGGTCTTCAAATATTTGAAGACAGCTACCACATCCTCTGTCTTTCTTTTATGCTAATGGCTTTCAGTTACTTCAGTAGCCCCTCATTTGATATCCTGGTAGTCCTACTGACTATTTTTCATTTTGTCAGTGATACTGCATAACTGGACACATTAGTCCACACATGGTTTGACCAGAATAGAATACAGTAGCACCATCACATTATATTTCTGTTAATGTGAACTGAAGCTTCTTAGATTTTTGTGTTGTTCCATAGGAATATAAATTTAAAACTAGGTAAGACTTTAGAGGTTATCTAATCCAATATCTTCAATATACAAGTGAAACTGAGGCCCAGAAAAGTTAAATGACTATCCAAGGTCACATTGTAGAGCCAAGATTCAAACCCAGATCCTCTGATTGTAAATCTGTTGCTCTTTCCATTGCTTCATGCATCTTCCCCATCATTTTAAGCTTTCAGTTCATGAAAATCCCCAAGCTTTTTTCCCCCCTATACTTACACATTTGATATTTTTGAACCTAAATAAAGAACTTTACATTTGTAAAATTATTTGTTTTAATATTTGGCCTGTTGTTACAGTCTGTTAATGTTTGATACTAATTCTATCCAGTATATTCGCTATTCCTCTCAGCCTTGTGTTATTTATGAATTTGATGAGCATTCCAAATATATGTTTAAACCATTTAGAAAAGTGTTGACCAGAATAGAATCGAGAGCTATGACACCCTACCAGAAACCTCTTTTGGTTGACATCAAATCCATCTTACATATACTCTCATTCAGTCCACATATCTTTTGTGTTTGTTTAGGGATGTTGCAAGAAATTTTTTTTCAAATTCTCAGCTGAAATCTAGACACTGCATCTTTAGTATTCCTTTTGATCTGCCAATTTAGTGAAAGAAAAAAGGAAATTACTTTGTGACCCACATTTAGTATATTTATTGTGATGAGTCTGGATGCTATATTTGAAGAGGAATGTTTGCAAAATATAGTGTGTTCATGAGAATAAAATAAAAAATTTAGTGATCATTTTATAAATGAAAAAACAAGCCCAAAGAGGCTAGTTTGCTCAAAGTCACTTAAGTGATTAGTGACAGGCCTAGGTCTTTTGACTTGTGGGTCAATTTTCTTTTTCCTATGCCAGGCATTTTATGGCTAGGGTTGAGGAAGCATTGTCACAAGGAACAAGTGGACACATCTGGGGATGTTTGGCCTTGAAAGGAGAATACTTAAGAGACACAATCACTGTCTTTAAAAATTTGAAAGGTTGTGGAAGATAAGGAGGTTTGTTTTGTGTTGCCCCATAGAGGAGAAATAGGATCAACGAAAAAAAATTCCTAGGAGCAAGAAGGCATATTTCATCTGAATGTCAGTAAAAATTTTCCAACATTTAGATTTGTCCAACAAATGGTGAAAGATTATGAACAACATTTCATTCCAAAATGGCAAAAAAAATAGTTGCAGAGAGGTATGCATAAGACTCAACTGAGCCAAATCATAAGAGACTCTGTAAATGAAACTGGGAGAACAATAGACATCAATCAGATCTGCCAAAATTTCTGTGGCAAAAAAGAATGCGACTATCACATTTGAACTGCCCCATCTCAGTGCTAAATGTATTAGGTGAGGACATGGTGGTGGCACTTTGAAAGGCAGGAAGAATGGTTGGACTTGAACAAATATATAATAGTAGAAATTAATGCCAAGATGGGTGTAGTGGCACCTATCTGTATCCTCTGCTCCCCAGGAAATTGCAGCTGGAGGATCTGAGCTAAGGAATTCTGAGCTGCAGTAGGCTGAGTCAATTAAGTGTCTTCACTAAGTTTGACATCAATATAGTAAGCTCCTGGGTGGGAGGGGGAGGTTGCCTTAGGAGGGGCAAATCCACAGAAATGAGGAGGGTTAAGCTTATGACTAGCCCCTGAACTTTCAGCCTGGCAAGATAGGGATTTAAAAAAGAAAAGAAAAAAAAAAAAGACTTTCCCTGCAAGAGGCAAAGTCTTAGAGGTACTTAGGGATCAATTCAAAGAATGAAAAATCCAGTGGACTGGAAAAGACAGCTGACAGTACTATGACCAAAAGAAAAAAAAAGGCAACTTGAGAAGACTTTAGCAACCAGTAACATGCCTATTTTTGCTTTAAGGTCTTTATGAGAATGAACTACAACATTGAGGACATCATTAATGCAAAACATGAGCAGGGAGCATGCAGACTTTGGGAGATTTTCTACTGTAGCTCACATCTTTGTAGTTCTACAACTGAGATGTAGAGAATGTAACATCCCACTGTACATTGTTTGTTAACTTACAAAGCTAATTTGACTTAGCAAAATACAGCTTTGAAGATTCTCAAACACAAAAGTGTCTCCTAACACATCAAAAACATAGATGAGAATGTAGTTCAATCCACTGAGTATCAGTGTCAAGAAGGCATAAAACAGGAAGATATGTGCTCACTGAAGGTGACCATCAGTGTCACCAGAACTTAGCACAGTGCCTGGCACATAATAGATGCTCAATAAATGTTTATTGATTGACTTAGACAATCTTGGGCAAAATCCAAGTAAAAATAGAATTACTTATCGGTGGCCAGGTTCTCTGTATGTTTCTCTTTGTGTTTGATGTGCTGATTATGTTGAACCCTAGAAAACTGTTGGGCTTCCACAACCACTCATGAGCTTGGCCTAGCCATATATACTGGGAAAAAAACCCAAAGAAGATGAAAAACACATTTCCTGGGTGAGCAACCCCATTAAGGTAGTGTCTCTGTGTGTGTGTGTGTGTGTGTGTGTGAGAGAGAGAGAGAGAGTGTTTTGAAAGGATGCTACAGATGGTCCATTGTCTGAACTTGGAAACAAACATGATTATAGGATTTAGAAGTTATATTTATTATGGGATTTTAGATTTAGAATTAGAAGGGATCTTAAATCACCTAGGCCAACTTCCTCATTTTATAGATGAGAAAACAGACCAGAGAAGTTGACTTGCTCAAGTCATGCACTTAGCAGGGAGCCAGTAATCAAGGACTTCTGACCCTAAATCCAATACTTGTTCCATGCCACCATATCACCAAGAGATTGGGCTGCATTACATTTTAGGAATGTTAATTATCCTGTTTATGCTACATTACTATAAACTCTAGAACATTAAAATCTCAGAAATTACAAGTTGGAAGGGTCTTCAGAAGCCATCCAGCCCAGCCTACAAATGATAAAGAATGTTCTCTGGGATATCTCCAACAACCGAGGGACCTTGCTAGAAAAGCTCTAGTTGGGCTACTTCCCAAAGCTGCCAGTTTGACTTTTGGATAGTTCTAATGGCAAGTTTTTTGTATTGAGCCTAAATCTGCTTCCTTGCCCCTTCTACTCCCAGCTTCTAGTTCCTGCCCCCTGATGCCAAAGAAAAAAAAAACTAATAACCTTTAACACATGACAATTTCTCAAGTTATTGAAGATACTTAACATGGCCCCATTAAGTCTCATTATGCTAAGCATCCTCAGTTCCTTATTAACCACTCCTTGTATGGCATGGCTCAAGAGTTCTCATCAATCTAGATGCCCAGCCCTTAATGCTCTGCAGCTTGTCTTTCTGAAAATGTGCCCAGAACTGAACACAATACTACAGATGTGGTTTGATCAGGACAGAGTGCAGCGGGACTACCAGTTCTAGACAGGTCCTTGAGGTAGCCTAGTTTCACGAGTTGTTCTGGCTGCCACATGGCATACTGTGTCACGCAGAGGCTGCATGCCACTACGACCTTTAGATCTTTTCCACACAAACTTTTGTCTGGTAATGCCTCCCCTCTTGGGTGTTTACGGAGTGTTTTTTTTTTTTTTTAACTCAAAGGTAGGACATTTGCCTCTATTGAATTTCATTATTACAGACAGA